AAGAATTTCTGCTACTATTATAAAATACTTGGCAAATATTTTAGTCTGAGTATCCTCTCTGTGTGTGTATTTATTCTTTGTATACGTTTAACCATACTAATCACTTTACTTTGAATGTTGAATTTTTCTGTGCTCGTAGCAGGCAGTCCTGTCATCTTCCTCACACACTGGGACTGGGACATAGTCTCCTGTCTTTCTCATGAGCGTGTTTTTCCATTCTCCAGAATCAGTTGCATGTCTTCATCCTGTCCTACTACTGCTCTCCTGGTTCTTGTCTGTTTTTTAAGCAGATTGTTTTGCTTGTAATGCTTCCAAAGTGACTGCTCACACTGTAGATTAGAGGAAGAATACCAAACAGTAAAATGGATAGACAGCTTTTATTGTCACTTCTAATTATAACTGATGACAAAAGAAAGTGAAAATTCTTTTGTCGGAAATCTTGTAAGTGAACTTGCATTTGAATTAAAGCTGAAAATGCAAACTCTTCTTTCTGAGATTGGGGTCTGATCTTCTGTAGAGCTACAAAGGCACAGCAGAGGTGAGATGTTTCTTCGGGTGCAGTTTCATAATTGGCCTAAGTTCGTCATGAAGCAGGGTCAGTTCTCCACCTCCTGCCTGCATATTGCTGATGCCTCCCTTCTGCATTATTTTTTGTATAGTAGCAAAAACCTCTTGAATAACACAAATGTTCAGGATTTGGATCACCTTTCTTACCTGGCTGACCATTCAGCCCCAACTGCAAGTGTTGGGACAAGGGAACAGGGCAGACCTGCATGGCCAAAAGGGCAGAACTGTCTTTTCCAGCATGAACTGGAGGTGATTTGTGTCTGTTGTGAAACGATGCCCTGACCTCCTTCTGAAGAGTACAGTTCTGTTTTTCACTTGGTGTGTGATGACTTTCCAAGCAAAGAGTGAAAACAGCTCTGCTGGAGACTAAAAGAAAAAAAAAAAACAGGTTTTTCTGGCAGGTTCATGCTTCCCAGCTCCCCTTGTAGGAGCAATGATTTTTTTTTTTTGACAGTGTAAATCTCTTATCTCCATCTAAAACACAAGAAAAGAAGCCAGGTTTGTTGGGTCATAAATTACCCTGCCTCTGCGCAATTTGTATGCAGTAAAGAAAGTACTACTTAACAATAAATGAACGAGCACTAATGTAACATTAAGACGTGATTTGCATCAGTGCAACTACAGAAATCAAATGTTAAGTTTAACATGTCTTCTGCAATGTACCATCTGTTCAGCTGTCCCATTGCAACACATCTGTCTAGGCTGTTCATAGCAGCTGTCCCATCAAGGCTGAGAGCTCTTCCAGAGGTATACTTTTGGGGGGATCTCCCAGAGAAGAAGGGGAACTGTTTTGTCCTGCTTAGCTTTGTTGCTTTCCTTTAGAGCCCGATAGAAGCGGAGCACATGCACTGGGTAATAAATGCTAGTTCATTCTGTCTCTGCTGGGCCCTCAATGGAAGGAGCCCAGTAACAAGTGTGTGGTCTCAACAAGAAGTAGCTTTGGAGACAGGTTCCTGGTCTTGTTCCCAGTTCTGTGTTGGCTCATTTGTAAGCCACTTAACCCTTCTGCCTTTATTTCATTTCCCCCTCCTATCTGTGTAAGTGCCATCTGACAAGGATCCTTGACTAATAAGGCGTTTATTATTTCTGAGCCGCTTTTTAGAAAAAAGTAGGGGGATTTAATCAGAGAAGGAAGTTGGGGGGCTTCTATATATTTTGAAATAACTCCCAACACTGGTGACTCTTTCATAGACGTTTTTTAACCGTCATTTGTATCACGTGAGTTTTATGCACTTCAAAATAGCCAAATGGTGTATTTCAGAAATACCATTCTGAAATTCTCAGGCCCTTGGAAAAAGACCAGTCCCAAGGGCAGAGTTTCAGCTGCAGCTTTGGGTTTATTTCTGTCAGGTAGAGCTCAGTGCATACATTGCTGTCTTGCATGTGTCTCTTCCCTCTCCTCCTGTGTTTATGAACGTGTCGTGTTTATCGTAAGCCTTATTACATTAAACTTTCATGATCAAATTACTGCTTCATGTTGTAAAGTTGTGGTAATCATATTGTGTGATTCCTTTTTAAAAAGTTGATTTGAGGGTCGTGTCCTACATCTGGTGTCTTTGCCTGTAAACAGTACAAGCTTTTGGTTGAAGGGAGGAGCTTTCTGTCTTACCTAATGTGCCATCAAAAATGTGCTTACAAACCAAAAGGAGATGTGCAGAGACTGTCAGCCTGAATTGGTGGTGTGGGTGGCTCTTGGCAAAGCGTACGAGTCTCTGAAGCTGGTGAGGAAATTTTTAACTGTGGTGTCACAAACTTGATGCGTTAGCAACAGATGTCATTTTCATAAGCCTCTGCTTTCTTAGGGAGCACAGCATGCGAGTGGTATTCACAATCTGTATGCAAAACGCACAGTGGTTGATGGCATGAAGTCATGTCTTTTAATACACACTGGCTAGAAGAGCACCTTGGTGTAACATTGTGAAGCTTTGGCTTTGGGGCTTAATTAGACCAAGACGACAGAGCTCCGTGTTGTGCATGGAAAGTCTGTTTTGAAGAATGTCAGCGAACTGAAAGTCAGAGCAACCATTCTGTTAAAACAATACTTAGCTCTTGCCCCATGTGGTTTTATTTGAGAGCTGAATGCTGATGTGAGTGAAGTGAAATAGGAGAATCCTGTGTTTTCCATCCTTTTTCTTTCGTCTTTCCATGCGTGCAAAAAACTAAAATAAAATTCAGAAGGGCCGTGAACTCCACTACGCTGGTAGGAGCTATTTCAAATTAGTAAGATAAAATGTGACTGCTTTGCTAGTGCACAAAGACTTCATCTAAATTGAAGTTGCCTGGGGACAAGATCCACATAGTGCACGAGGGGCATTTAAGCCTGGCAATTGTTTTTGAAACATTGAAGAATGTGGTAGTTCCTGAAAAATGAAGGAAGGTAGTAACATAAAAAAAAAAAAAAATTGCACTGATAGCAGTATAACTTAGACAGGAGGGAGGAGTGTGTCTGGCCTTGCTGTCTAGCTGTTACGGTCTGTCAGTATTTGAGCATCCCCAGCATGCCTGAACAAAGAATGAACTTGCACTGGTCCCTCAGCTTTTTGGTGAGGTATAAATTTATTGGGATCTGAAGGGAGGGGCAGGGGGCGGGGGGGCAGGGAGGGGTGGAAACAAAGACACCAAAAACTGTGGCTTTGGATGAGTCGGCATTTCCATTTGACATGATCATTCAGAGATTTTTGTAACTCATCCAAAAAAAAAAAAAAAAAAAAAAAAAACACCAAACAAAAAAAAACAGCAACCTGGGTCTCAGCCTGAAATTCATTTGCTTTGCAGAAACAAGAGGTTTTGAGTTATGCAAGTGCAAATTTTCCTTGAAGAATGTTATATGTAAAGCCTTTACTTTGCATTTGTTTATCTCCAAAACAGGTTCATTTTTTAAAATGAAAACTTGAGCCTTCGGTCCCTCCTGTGGACAAATAGCCTTACACAAGGTCTTGTTTCATTTTAGAAAAATGAATTGCTGCGCCGGTGGGGTAGTATTTGATTGCTTTAAAAGTTCCTGTCAGTGTTTTATTTTTGTTTTTTGTTTGTGGACTTGCTGTGCCTTTTGCCCGGCCATATTTAGTCTGCATACTAAATGTTAGTCCGCCCAAACACTTTTCTTTGTGCACTTAGCTTTTTTCCTTTTTTTCCTTTCTCCTTTTTTCTTTCTTTTTTATTTTTTTTTTTCTTTTGCTTTCACCCAGATGTATTTTAGACCGAGACAGACTTTGCTCCGATGGGCCGGATTTTAGTCCGTGCACTAAATTTTAGTCCGCAGACTAAAAATAATCCGCGGATTATTTACTAGATTGATTCCCTCACTGAGAACTACAGAGACCTTAAACTCCTGCTGAGCCGTGCACGCGAGGAGGGGCTTCATGGCTCACAAGTCCCGCTGTCTGTCTGTCCTCCCACCCCTTCCCACCACGGAGCACCAGCCCGGCATTGCCTTGGCGTCGGCGCCCCATGGCATGGAAGTGCTGGCGTACCCCTTGCCGTGGGCGGCAGCCACTCGTGTAGTTCTCGGTGAGCGAATTGGGCAGCTTTCCCGGTGGAACTGTGTTGAATGGGAAGAGCTAAAAGACAGCAGAGGGTTTTGCTTTTATTTCTTAGGGCATTATTCAAACGGGAGGTGGGAGGGGACAAATTGAGGGGGAAAAAAATTTCTTAAGTAACGGGTGCGACGGGTATGAGGGGAAATAAACCCGCAGTAGAGAGAAATTCAGTCCATACCCGCACTCCTGAGGTGGTACGTCCAGTTCCTGAAGAATCCTAAAGAGATAACGCCAGCAAACAAAATCCAGTGGCGGGGGAAGTCAATCCAAAATGGAGAATAATCCGCGGCGGCCTGAGGCACTCATAGCTCACGCAAATTAAAAGCATCCAAATTCAAAGTACAGATCTCGGATTTTTACTTTCTCTTCAGCACAAATTATAAATTCCTAGGGGTTTGGTTTTGGGGGGAAAAAAAACCCAAAACCACCCAAAAGTTTACATTGTGTTTCTGGGACAGATTTACAAGTGGGATGCACCTTTGGGGACAAACTAATCTGGCCCCATTGTCTGTGGACATTTATATCCAGGACCAAGGACTGAAAATTCTTTATGATGGGAATTTCAATTACCCTTTTAGTTCAAGTTAGAGTTTTGATTTCAATTTTTTTTATTTTTTTAGTAAATGCACTGGCATTGGAACATAAATTTAATATAGAATTGTTTCTATACTATGCCTCACCATTGCACAATCGAATTTTTTTGGCATACACTGTGGTGAAGTTGGACTTGCTGCTATGGAGACTGATGTTTAAAGTTTCTAATTGTATAAACATTTTCTATGTCCCCCACACCATGGATTTCTTATAATATTGGCTATATTTTTCCTTGCTGGACTATTCTCTTTTGGATTGACTCCCCCTGTTTGGATTATTTCACTGCATTATCATCTTTAGGACTCGTCAGGAACAGGACATTTCACCTCAGGAGTACGGGTATGTACTTAAACATTTTTTCAAATTACTAGGCCTAGCCTTGAAAAAAAAAAAAAAGAGATAAATACTAGAAGTGGAATATTTGAGTTCAAACTGCATCCTGGAGGCAGCAGCCAGGCAAATGTTGTAACACAAGGTGATAGAGATGAGATGGGCACGGTACCTGCAACTCACTTCATGTGTTAGTCATCACTTGTTGCAGGGGGAGGCTGTGTGAAGCCTTGTAATTTCAACTTTTTTTTTTTTTCCACTCCCTGGTTTGAAGCAGTTAGGGCAGACTTTGGGAACTGCCTACCCCAAGTGACTAATTTCAGATCCAAAGGCAGGCTGAGCAGTTCTCAACTCAACAGGGTGTAGGAAACAGATGCTAGGGTTTCACTGACTTGAAAATAGGGAGTTGGAAACGAGGAGAGTGGACACATGAGTACTCCTTTTATAGATGGCAGATTTGTGACTGTCTTCCTATTAATTTGCTCAAGATAAGGGCTGCTTGTCCTTGCCTTAAGGAAAAAAAATATTTTTTTTCTTTTAAAAATCTGTATAGTACCTGATACGTGAGCTGTCCTGAGGGAAAAACACAGCTAAGGGTGAAGTACTTCAGTTTCAAGCTGTGCTAAATCAAGCTTGTTAAAACTTCAGTGCAGAGGTACATGAGGGAGACCTTAGTAGTTTTACCTCCTGTTAAATACCAAGCGACTTCACTTCAGTGGATTTACCTCAAGACGTAGTCACTTGTGCAACCTTGGGGTAAAAAAAAAAGCGCTTTTTTTTTTTTTTTTAATTGGAGACAGTCCTGGATTTTTGTTCTGGTCAGGCTGTGACTCGGGAGTGATACTTGCATCCAGTGTGCACTGTGGTCAGCGAATCTGAGCTCTGCAGGCACGGTGGTCAGCAGAAGTTCTCTGCCAGCAGTGTTGAGCTAAAGCCTTTCTTTTTGTCTTTACGGGCCTCGGGCATTGGTTTGTTTTGCAGTAACCCAGTAGTAGAAATAAATCCTGCTCTTTCAGTACCCTAGCTCTTTGACTCCTTGAGTCAGGATTCCCTGCCACATAAATTAGTACAGCACGCATTGCTGCAAACCTGGGTGCTCCTGAGCCTGCTCAGTCCCCAGAGAACTTCGCATTTGTGTTTGATTCTTACTCAAGAGAGCATATATGTCTTTGGTTTAAAACTTACTTAAGAAATGCCTGTGCAGTTTCCTCATCTGTGATTAATTAGCATGTCATGCACTGAATTTTTTTGCTCCTTGGTGCTGTGTGGCTTTGGTTCACCTGCACTGGTGCAAAAGCATTTTGGATTAGCTCAGTTTTTACCAAAAATGCTGGCATCAGAATTTAACACTTGCACCCGCCCCACTCCCTTTTGCCCAGCCTGCATACCACCTGCAACATAGTGAGACACAAGTGCTTGAGGAGGACATCCAGGTCATGTATATGATTAACTCACATTTTGCTTTTGACGTAATGGGAAAGGAGGATGGGAGCGTGATCAGCAGTGGGTAGAACTGTTCTTAGAGATTTAAAACAAAGCTGCAGCGAAGAACTTTTTGTAATCACTCAAGATAAAAATGTGTTAGAGTAAAATAGTTGGTTGTCTTGATGGAATTTTCAGCTGTCCTTACAAATACCAAATGTGCAGGAATTATCCCAATAAATTTTCGGGAATGACTTGCAGAGACTAAGGTCACAGGAGTAACTTGCAAATTAGAGCTAGACATTTCCTGCACTCCACCCATGCTTTCCTTGTTGTTCTCCAAAGTTGAGCAGCAGCCTCCATAGCAACAATCTGACCTGCCTGCCTGCAAAAGTCCACCTTAGTGAAAGCTCTATTCACTAGACAAAAAACCCCAACCCAAAACCGTAGCGGGGCCTTATTTGGTTTTTACATTCAGTGAATCCTGCTCATTTGAACCCTCCTCCCCACCTTCACTCTACCTCATGTGCATGGCCGGTAGCACCCGTGTGTGTTTCTCATGATTTTTTTGAATGAGTTTCCCCTTCATTCTTAAAGTTGTTTTTCCTGAGTGCGCTCTCATGAAGTCTCTTGCTGGCATTGCACCTTCACTCTAGTGCAAGACGTTGCAATTAACCCTTTCTCAACCCCAGGAACTGGATTTTCCCGTACTTACTGGAGGACTTTGATTAGCACTAAACCACAAGTTTGTTCCAGCTTGTTGGGCAATGAGAGGTTTAATTGCTCTGACTTGCTTCTGATCAGCAAAGAAAATAAACATTCCCAGACAACCTGTTTCTCCTTGTTTTGTTTTGGTTTTTTTTTTTGGCTTTTTTTTTTTTTCCAGGTCTTCCGGCCCCGCACTCCACCAGAAGCAATTGCGCTATGTAGCCGTCTGTTGGAGTACACCCCCACTGCCCGCCTGACTCCCCTGGAGGCCTGCGCGCACTCTTTCTTCGATGAACTACGGGACCCAAATGTCAAGTTACCAAATGGGCGAGAGAAACCTGCACTCTTCAATTTCACCACTCAAGGTAGCCTGTGAGCGTTGAAGGATCCCTTCTTTAGGAAGAAGCGCTGGGAAAAGTGTCTGTTATAATGCAGATGTCACTCCCTCAAAAGCAAAAATCTCCGAGCAGAACTAAGGTTATTAAGCAGTTGCATAACCAGCTGACCATTGCAAAAAGAGGGGAAGGGGACTTGGAAAAATGGGTTACAGGATTTTCAGGTGACTGGTGCTTTCAATTCAAATTTCATGCAGGGTACTGAGGGTTGTTCCTGTCGAATTGCATCACGAAGGCTTACGTTTGCAGTTCAGTGTCTGCAACCTAGCTGATGGTGTTGTGTGAAGTATCACAGCCAGTGGACTGTGGAGATTAGGTTATCAGTTTGGAGATGATCCTGCTCCTTCATACCTGAAACACCGTAGCAAGGAGTAATGCATATTAGGTTTGGCAGAGAGGTTTGTAGTGTTGCTGCCCAGTTTGGTTCTGGATACAAGATAAATACAGAGGCTGTAGTGTCCAAGTTTTATGTGCTGAACAGTTCGTCTGGCGTTACATTGACTCAGTCATTTAGAAACTGTAAAAATGACGGACAAGTAACTTTTTTATTTGAAGCCAAGACTGGTATCGAATTTTCAAGCCATTCATGTATTCTCTTCCACAGAAGTCAGAAATGTAAAACTCCTATCCCCCCTAGAACAGTTTTGCCTGCCAAGGCAGAAAATGTGAGAAGCATGGCATACAAATATGCTACTAATTAATTTTGGAGCACATTTTTTTTTTTAAGTGATTAGCTGCCAGTTCTCACCCTTTGAGCAAGGATAGATCTGAGTGCATTTTCTGTAGAAAATCTAAACCACCTTTTGGCTCAGTTAGCATCAGTGTAATTTTTCAAACTCTCTAGTGCATACAGTGCCCATCTGCCAAAATGTGAAACCAGAGCGCTCTCCTTCAACATGTGGAGCCCTTTTATTTAAAAAAAAAAAAAAAAAAATGCTCAGGCAGGGGGGGAAAGGGCCAAAAAGTTTTCTGTCTGTACAAAATAGTATTTTAAGCTTCCTGGAAATAAACTTTTTAACTTGTTTTGAGTGGCTGCCTTGCAGAAGGTAAACATATTGAATATACAAAACATTGCCGAAGCCTGAACACCTTAAAGTGTTCAAGAAAACAGCTTGTGCTTCCAGGTCACTGTCCTCTGTGCTGATTTCTGCATCTGTTGTTAGGAATTTAGTAGTTGTATTACAGGTCCTTCCTTCTTACAGTACCTGTGAATTGCATTTTCTTCCCACTCTTAATGCCATCTTCAGTAACTAAGATAGTTTTGATCCCAGTATCTTAATACAGCTTCACCTCTGTTCTTTTTGAAAGTATTTATTAATTGTAAATGTTAAGATTAGGCCTGTCTGCTACATGAAAACAAGGGATTTTAAAAAGGGTTGGAAAGTTCTATAGTGAGTCTTTTTTAAAATCCTTAGGGGAAAAATAAATGTATGTAGTGGGAATGTGTCCCTGGTTTCCCCCCAGGCAGTGTAGAAACTGCTGGGTAAGCTACCCTAATGCTCAATCAAATTTAAAGAGTCTCTTTTGCCATCCCTAGGAGCTGATGTGCTCTGGCCTTGCACAGTGACTCATGGGAATGGCAAGAGAAATCAGCTCCAGTGAAGTAATTTCCTTAAGATTCAAAAAAAGCAGGTTTCTGTCTTTGGCAGGTGCCAGTTTTAGCATCTGAAAAAGGCAGGCAGGACAGAGGCTGGTCATTAACACATTTCCAAATAAGCTCTGTTGCAGGTGACCAGCCAAACTCAAAAAAACAATCAGAGTTTTTAAAAATAACTAAATAAATGCATTACTTTGCGTGGGGATTTTAAGATCATTGTAATTAATAAATGGGCAGCCCTGAGTCTCATGTAGAATCAATCCTGTTTATGACCTCAAGATACACAAGAGGCTTTTGCTCCTCCTGTGACCGCTGTGCAGTCCTGGCTGTTTAGCCAGACTGTACAAGGTCCTGTCAAATCGTCTAGTCCAGAGCAGAAATCCCAACTGGGAAATAGATCGGGTCATTGGAAATCAGGTGGTGACTCAAGTCATCTGTGGTAATTTAAAAAGTAATGGAAGACATCCTTTTGTTTTGAGTGGCATTTGTTTTCAACAGACAATATTAAGTTTTAGAAGTAGCGTTTTATTTGGCTGTATCCAGTTCCCTGAAACCCCCGAAGTAAGGAGGAGGGAGATGCAGAAGGCTTGAAGGCAAAACTGTTAGAAATAACAACACAAATCAGACCATTAATGCGCTGGATTGATTTCCAGAAGGAGCCTGAGCGTAATACCAGATCTGCTGATCTGGGCCCTGATGCTGCTCAGATAGTCTAGGAAAAAAGGCAGTGAGAGTATATGGAAGATAAAAATCGTGGTCTTTGGCTGCCAGCGGTAGTTATGGGACATGTAGGTGCTTACTTTATTGTAAAGATGAGATCTGAGGAAGAGAACTTTACCTGGTCATTCTTAATGTCTTGCCTGTAAGGTTCTCTTAGTATTCAAACAAATGTTATATGCTAATTGGGGTTTGAAAAAATTATTTTGGCCAAGGAGGTATCTCCTCTAGCCACAGAGCTGCAGCTCAGTAGCCATTAGACCTGCAAGACAGCAATTTTTCTCTTAGAAGCTGTTTTTTCAAACAAGCTGAAGTGACTACCATTTCCTAAACTTCCTGTAATATGTTGGTGATTGTGCTGGGTCACAAACATTACTGTCACTCCATGTTGGCCATTAGAGATTGTAAAAGTCTTCTGTGATTCAGCACTTACAAATGGTTATCATACTTCTCAATGACAATCTACTTTTTTTGCTAAAGTGTGGGGGTTTGGGGTTTTTTGTGGTGTTTCTTTGGGTTTTGGTTTTTGTGTTTTTTGGTTGGTTTTTTTTTTTAATGAGCCTGGCTCGTGATCTTCTTAAAAAAAATATTTTTTTTTATTTATTTATAGATAGATAGATAGAAAGAGAGATATAAATAAACCCCTTTGTTTCTAACCAAACTGTTTCAGTGTGACCAGAAATCCTTAGTGTGACCATTTGAGTGTCATCTAGGGTTTTTTTTAGACAGAGTATTTCTGCTCAGGGCATGTGGAGGGCAGAAGAAAGGAAAATTATGAAACTCATGCTGCTTCCAGCATTCTTTTAGGTTGAAGAGAAACTGCTGGAATAACTTGAGTTATGTGGAAAGTTTGTTACTGTGACAAAGCAAACATGATACAAGACTAACTTTTCCAGGGGATTCTGGGAGTGTTGATACATCAAATGTAATACTACTGAAAAAGAACAATACTGAAAAAGAACGCTGCATTGTTTCCCAACACCAAGCATTTTCTTGTGTTTGGGGAATGAAGGTGAATGAAGGTACTAGTAAGACTGAACATTTTCATTCCTGCTCCTCATTGGATAGGTAAACTGGTTGCCAATAGCATGATTTGATGAGGAGAAAGCCAGAGGTGTTCTCCCAGCCGATGTGAATGGGAGTTGGGTCTCATAAATGAATTGGAGGAGCTGCTCTGTTCACACCGTGGTATTGAAAACTTTGGCTTGAGTTGATCACAATACCTTCTTGAAGCAGTGTTGGCTGTAATTAACCCAACCTTGAACGGCGTGTTTGATTTAGATAAGCAGGCTACGGTTCAACAGCTTGTCCAAATACTGTGTTGGAAATCACTGGGAACAGAGGCTCTCAGTACTTCGTAGACTGCAGATACCCAGGTCAAGCTTTTTCCTTGGTATTGTCATCCTTACAGACCAGGATAGCTGCAAAAATACAGTAGAACAAAAATTCAAGCAAAGCTGCTATTAAACTTCAACCAGAAGAGTTCAATTCACTTGGGTTATTTCATGTCTGAAATGACCTGCTCCTCTAAGTGAAGCATGAAGACATTCAGAGCATGCTGAATTTAAGAAACTTCATACCAAGAGGGATAACGTGGGGTTTGAGAAGAAGGGAACAGGATCAGTCTTCTAGTCTCTATGCAAGTTCGTTCAGGTAGCTTCAGAGAAATGGTTGCACTTGACTTAAAAACAATAAAACCCAGTGCACTTGCCATAATCGGTGCTGTGAAAGGAGGTGTTCTGACAGCATTAGATGAGTGTATGCGAGGAATGAGGTTGGGGTCTTGTTCCAGCAAGGGTGGTGGCCTGTCAGATCAGCTGGCTCTGTGGCTACAGCAATGCAGGCAGCCTATAGCTGCATCCTTGGGGCATCGCTTCGCACCAGAAGGTAGCAAATGTCATTTGGTTTCCTTGACGTTTTAGCTCTTCTTCTGTTTGGATCACAGCCCCATATTGCTGCCAGTGATGAGCAGAAAATAATGGGGGGATGATAGCAACTTTCAAAAGAGGTAAACAGCAGATTCCCAGTAATAACAGATGTGAGAAATAGCTTTGGAAAAAATACTAAAGGAACAACATTTTCTAGCATGGAATGGCTAATGCCCAAGATAGTATTAAAGTATAGGTTTATCACAGGTGTTCAGCTTTGACACTTGAGGATTGATGTTTCTTCATTTTATTTTTCCATTGAAAATGCAGACTTAGGAATTCAGAGTTCTGTTACGAATATATGAATTCTGAATTATTCCCACATGAACTTGATGATTAGTATTTTTACAAATGCTGTGAAGTATTGAGGCTTTCTAGAAGGACTAGGTAGCTCTGCTTAGACCTGAATGAAGTATTATAGGATAGGCTGGATGGGTTGCAGGTAATATAGCAACTTCTGTTTGGTTCTAGACTGGAGCTTGTGTTCATAAGTGCTGAAACACAGTCTCAAAATGCTTAATAATAAGAAACTTGTAAGCAGACAAGTCTTCTGCATCTTGCCCTCCCAGCAGTAAAGAAACTTGATGTAACTTAATAGAGGGGAAAAAAAAAAAAAGTGCCAAGTAGACTACTGATCCATTTAGGCCCTAAATTTAAAGTTTGCGTTAAAGAAAATAAATAGGCTCTTAAAAATGAGCCCAAATAATTTAAGGCTGTGTACAAAACCCCCTCACTGAATCCACGGCATGATTCAGATGGGTTTCTGTACAGCTCTTCCTATCTGGAGGTCTTATGTAAAAAGCCATCTATTCTCATTTCTCCTCCAGATGACCTCCTGGAGCTTCAAAAGTCATCAGTCTCCTTCCATAAGGTGACTGTTCACATCCTTTTCACCGGATGTTGCTTTCTCAAGAGACGGCCAGTCACTCCTGTTTCTAAAACAAATAGGACGTGTCTTGTCTCGGCTCAGTCCCACCTTCTGTGAGGCACTAGATTCTCTTGAAAGGGTGCCAAAAGATTGTCATTTGTTGGCAATGTGTTGCCCTTAATCCTCCCACAGTTGTGGCTGTAAGATGCCTGTTTCTCATTCTGATACGCACTGAAGCTATATTAGATTTGGAACCAAAAAGACATGACTATTTTCCTTGGTTAATGTCTTCAGAAAGAATGGTTGCATCATTTTGTTGTCCATTTAAATTGCCCAGACGACCAGTTCCCTTTGCCTTTCCCTGTGCTTTTAAAGGAGATATATCGCCTCTTCTTGGCCTCACTCAAGGAGACTTCTGTGAGAGATTGGTCTTGGGTTCCTGGGTCCTTGAGAAAGTGATGCTTGAGTGAGCCAAAGACCTAAATCCCTGAAGCTCTTGGAGTAACTGTTGCAGCTGCTTGCTTGCTGAACCAGTGCCCAAAGCAGCACCACTTTTATCAGCTTTCTCCTTGAGACTGATTCCAAGTGGGTTTGTGAAGGGAATCTTTCCAGTCCTCAGAATGAAACAGCATTATTGGTAAGGAACAGGCTTGGCTGGTTCGTTGCTAACTCCCAAGCTGCTGTCTTTCTCTAGGAACTTATTCCCTTGCACCACTACTTGTAGTTTTGACAGTTTTGCTCTGGAGACTGCCTTGCCAAATATTGCTGCGGGTTCCTCTCGCTGGTCAGCAAAGAGAACGTAACGCGACCTTTGGCTGTAAGGGCATGCGTTTCGCCCAAGGTTGCCGTTACTGGGGGGGGAAACCCAAGGAGCTGAGCCTGCATGCAGGGGCTCTTTGTGAACAGTGAGCTAACTCTGTTTGTTCCACCTCCCCTCCAGAACTGTCAAGTAACCCATCTCTGGCTTCGATCCTCATCCCTGCTCATGCCCGGAACCAAGCAGCTGCTTCAACCCCTACAAATGCTACAGCGGCCTCAGGTGAGAACGCACAACTGCCTGCCTCCCTCCCCACCCTCGCTGCCCCTGCCTGGGCACCTGCCCTCTGCTGAGGCCCGTGAGCCACCTCGGCCCTCAAGGGTGAACGGGGAGGAGGAAGGGTTCATTCCAGCAACACCTGAAACTCGGTCTTGGCAGGTGGTCATTTGGGTGCTAGCTGTGGTCAGCAACCCAAATTCTAACCCAACGCACTTCGGATCTGCCTTCAGCTGGTTAGTTTGTTGGCCCTTCTCGCTCAGGCTTCTAATAAGTCAAAACCATTAGCTCACCTGGTTTTTAGCAGTCCGCGTGGATTGGTTTGCACCTAATTTCTGAGCATTCAGCCGGTCTGAAATTAATACTGACTTGGCATCACAAACTCATGTTCCTAGGAAGAGAAGAAACAGCTAGCTCAGTATATGTGGCCTCCGCAGAACACGGATGGAGAGGATTTTTTCCCCAAAGGCATTAGCGCTTAAAAGTCTAACGGGGAGTTCAGTCAGCATGCTCACTGCCTCATCGAAGTAGTTGCAGTTGCTTCTTACCAAGTTTGCTTGTGTCATCTTTGGGCACGAGGCAGATGCTTTTGGGTTTTGGCCAGCACTGAGTGAACTTTTTTGCCCCTCTCACTCACTCTCAAGTTTCTGTCAGAAACCTTTTAAAAGCTCGCTGTTGGCCTGTAGCCACTCCGTATTTTATTCTGTTTCCAGTGAAAGCTTAAAAGCTGGGTAATACCAGTTGGGAGACTCCCAGTGAAAATCCCAGGTGCTGCAGGATGTGGCAGAGGTGATTCAGTACGTGGCACTCTTCCTCTGAGTCGGCACGCCAGGCGGCTGTCTCGGGGCTGGGGCAGCCAAAGGCAGGCTGCAAATTGGGTGTGCTTCCATACGTGTCCTGCGTGCATGTCAGCTCCATTGGACAAGGGCTGTGACCCCCTTTTGAGGGGCAGGACTCTTACTCAGTGTAAGATAGCTGATAAGGAGAAGCCCTAGTTAAAAAGGTGTTCTTGAAACGTGCAGGAAAGCATTTGCAGGTTGATGTGCCGGAGAGTTACCTGATATCTGATGCACAGTAGCCAGTGCTGTATAGAAATCATTTTCATACTGCAGTACAAACAGATTCACCCAGGTTTGAAAGATGAGGCTTCTCTCTGAAAATGTAGTAGCAGTAGATGCAGCCTGTACAATTCATGTGCTCTGAATTTAGGAGAAAGCAAAATTGCTATTTTCAAATTTAGTATGTTTGTTTCATACGCTTGGCAGTATTTTGCAAATAGTTATGTTCTCCGTTTCCTTTCTATGTGCATCTGTTGCTCAACAACAAGTGAGGAAAAAAAAAAAAGGCAGATAAAATAGTAAAAGTGATTGAAAAACTACAAAATACAAACATGGAAAATTATTTTAAGCCCTTCTGAAAAATACTGTTTCCCTTAACATCCCCTTCATGCCTTTTAAGGAGTTCTCTGCCAAGATACATACAAGTCTTGAGGAATTAATGGGGTTTAAGAAATCTGTTTTCACCCAGGACTTTCCAAGGGTTCATGTGGGGAGAAAATGCATTAGGCTGCATCCTGTGTGAAATATTAAAAAAAAAAAAAAAAAAAAAAAAAAAAAAAAAAAAAAAACCAACAGACAAACAACCAAAAAATCAAACAAGCAAGCAAAAAACCCACCACCAACCCCACCTTCTTGATGTCAACATTTTTAAGCCCTCTGTAAGCACTGCACCGAGTTGGGATATGACCTCTTATTTGTAGTTCAAAAACCAGAAAAAATGTCTTTGCAACTTGGAAAGAAATTGTGTAATTAAGTTCATTATTAGGCAACTTGCAGCTTTGGGTTTCTGCAGCACAGCTGGTTAGTAGTTTCCTACTCACCTAGGGTTCTCACAGGAGGCGGTGGGAATTTCATCAATTGTGATTTTTAGGATTAGGTCCTGTATGAGGTTATGATAATCTGTTGGGCTTTGCATGCTGTTGCTACACTTAGCAAGAGATTTTGGTAGAAGGGGTCCCTTCTTTCCCAACACCTCCTGCACATCCGAGAGCAGTAAATTTCTAGGTCTTCAGTAACTGCCAAAGAAGCACGGGAAGCAACTTTCCCACCTTACCTTGGGCATCTCGACAGGCAGGACACTTTTCTGCAAAATGTTTGCTTGTGTAACTGAGCAATACAAGTTCAGAAACTACTTTTTTTGAGTGATGAAGGTGCAACAAAATGTACCTCTCAAGGCGATTCAAAGGGCAAAACAAGTTATGCGTAACTGAAATTCACATTACTAGTGTGTAACTTGGGTCTCCCTCTAGCAAGCAGAACTGATATTGAGGTTCAAGTGTCTGCTGTTAATGTTCAGCAGAGTTGCCTGCTCTGACAGCCCGAGTCATAGGTGCACATACATTGAAATGCAATGGACTAGTTCATCACTGTAGATAATCCCAGGTGAGTGGTTATTACCTGCTTGCCGACAGTTACTCCATTTTCGTAGCTGTCATGTTGGTATCCAGCCATGTCAGAATCTCAGCTTTTTGGTAAGGTATAAAGCACTGCTTTTTGTCAGGCACCAAGGCAGGGTCTTAGTTAGAGAGTAACAGGAAAAATGAGATCTGTCTGTCCAAAGTCTAGTAAAGTAGTGTTTGATGGGAGACTTAGCAGTGGTGTGGCATTAAGAGGTAGAAAGATTAGCTTTTCAATATAGCATGTTAACAGTGCAGGTCTCATCAAGCCAACAATAGTAGTCCTTGTGCTAACCAGTATGACACACATCTGCATTTTTAAGTTATCCAAACCGAGTAATTTTTATTAACTGATGATTTGCAGTGGTGATTTCAGCAGCCCAATCCAACAGTAATCCTGGGATTGTGATCGTAAATGCAGGGGAATTATTCTAGGTAACTTTTGAGTGTTAAAAAAATGTATTTGTTGTAAACTTCCTTTTCTTTTGAGGCATAAAGGTGGACTCACTGTACTAATGGAACCTGGCTTTGCAGTTGGGAGTATGAAGCCTTGCTGCATCGGCATGAGCAAATTTACCTAAACGTTTGTGAGAGATTCTCTGAGACATTAGTGGCCTGTCTAAAGCAAAGTGGAGGAAAAGGAAGATGAGAGTTATTGGCCCCTGCTTGAAATGGTGTACTAGCTTTCTGAATCTAAATTATCCTGGCCATTGATTAAAAATGCCCATGCATCTTTATTCGTGTGGACACTGCCTTGATCTGGCTGGAGGAGGAGGATGGTTTCATGGCTGCTCAGCCACAGCATCTGAGAGGAGAGCATGCACACCAAGTCGAATGCTTATCTGCTTGTGTGATTACACATTTTTTTTTTTTTCTTCCCGGATCAGCCAGCAGCAGTAGTTACCTCCCTGTTAGGTCAGCATTAAGATGGGAAGAGTGTAATTGCCATCTGCAGGGGAGTTGTGCCAGCAGGGATGCTGGGGTCATCGTCTGAGGCATCCCGCTGTGCTGATCCCATGTAATCCCAAATGTGGTGGTGTGCCTGAACTTTCAGCAACAAAACAGATTAGAGTTGGTGTTACCTGCCAGTGTATGGCAGTTGAAAAAGACCACAGTGCTCCATAAAATAAGATGTAGTGAGTGCATTTACAGTATCCCTATTGAAGGAATTTTGGAAAACTAATTCCTCAGCCAGGAGAAGAGAGGCAAGCAATTTCCTCGGGCTTCTGCAAGCTCAGCGCAGGGACGAGTCCGTGACAGTGAGAGGAGTAAAACTTGCATGTTTCAGAGTCACCAGTTTTGCTCTGAGCCCTGGATTTCTACATAATAGGAAATAATAGGCATAATAGGAAATAACAGGCATAATAGGAAAAACTGATGGTTTTTGCTTCTTCCACTTGTCTCCTCAGCTACCCTATGAGGACTCCCAGACTGGTGGTAGTTTTGGTCTTGTATCGTTGCAGATGAGCAGGACAGTCTGCCAGTGTTCCAAATCCAGCTAATGCTGTCATTAGTGCTAATGGGCTTTCTCAGACCGAGCTGGCGTCTGTCTTTCTCGGAACTGTAGCCCCATCTTTACGTTCCGGGAGGTTTCTGAGGGGTGTCACATACCCCCCCAAGAAAGTTCAAGGGGTTCCTCAGAGGGAGAAGCTGAACTGGAGGAAGTGCTCTACACTGAGAGACACTTTTGCCCTCTGTTTGGAAGAACTCGTGGAAGCGGCTGACACTTAAGCCCTGATGTGGTTTCTTTGCCAGCCCAGTCCGAGGTTTCAGGTGGGTGGTTGAGGACAAAGAGGCTGCCCTGACCTCAAGCCACAGTCTGCTGTGTAGTCATCTGCCCCGTACCAGAGAGCTGCGTGTCAGCTCCCAGCTTTGCTCCCCAGCAGCGGCTTCCACGGGGGCACAGGCCACGGCTCTGCAGAGCAGCTGTTTTAGGGGCATTGCCAGAGGCCTAGATTTTATTCTCTTATGCCCAGATACTGATTTCTCATGGCGAGGAGAAGTAAGCGATTGTCCAGAGACCCTCGTACTCCAGTTGTGCTCTTTTCTGGCACTTCAGCAAAGAGATGCTGGAACAAGGCCCTCTTTGTTCCCCAACTGCCCTGTCAATGCAAAGTCAAAGAACAAGCTGGAATGTCAAAATACTGCATTTTCTTGCAGGTTTCGAGCCAGTACAGCCTTGAGCGGGCACTGCACTCTGTCCCAGCCTGGGTTGACTTGTATATATTGTTGTGAAAAGCCCCCTGTAAATGGTCTTGGGCTGTGTCACCTGCTTTATTTCCTCTTTAACATGTGGCCTATATATTTCTCAAGAACTCCCCCGTTAGAGTGATGATAGAAAAGGAGCATATGTTACATGAAGTAGCTCCATCCCCTCCTCTTTTTTTCTTTATCTCTGCTCGGTAGCCATGTAATGATAACTATTTCGGCCTCTGCTGTCTTCAGGAAAAGAAGATCAAAAGGCACATTTCAGCAAATGATATACAAGCACTTTTTGCACGCATACAGAGAAATCCTCTGCCAACAGTACAGACTCCAGCTGGACTGCTCCCATCAGGCATGGCAGACGTTGCATTAACTGGAGTTTATCCATACCTGAAAATTAATCTAGAACAGGCACAGTGAGAGTTTGAAGTGTGGAAAAGATTAGCTGTCTGGCTGGGTCACTCTTGATTTCCATGGTCATTGTGGGTCTGCATGCGTGTGGGATTTGGGAATTGCTCCTTTAGGGAAATCCTCCACGTAGGAGGGCGTCTCTCGTGTGCAGGGCTAGCTTTCCAAAATAACATCGGTACTGCTGTCACACTGTCTTGGTGCTTTAACTGCATGAGCTTTTCTTTAATCGTGGTAGTCGCTTCTTCATGAGAAAGGGGTTGCAATTAATTTGGGAGGAAAGCAAACGGAATGGGAAGCTCCCAGAGCAGTCTGGCATCCTCTGCCCACAGGAGGATTTCCCTTTCTTCCCACACACTCCTCGCAGCATTTCCTTTTCAAGCAGGCATCATCCTCTCTTCCCAGTTGGCCCTTGTATTCCTGGATGCTGCTGTTTGTGTGGTTTCCTCTTTTTTTTGTTGCTGTTGTCTGTGTACGTGAATTTGTTGCTCAGCAAGTGCTGCCCACCTCTGGACTCTCATTCACTTCATGGCCTTTGCTCCTGGCGTCACTTCCAACTCGGGTCAGGCCCAGCCCGTGTGGCGGGAGAGGATGGGGGGGGTTTCTTGGCAGGTGACTGTGGGGCATTGCCCAGCTGCACTGCCTCGCGAGCTCATCTGTGCTGGAGAAGTATTGCTGCACCCCACCACCCACCGCTTGTATTTTGTCATGTCTGTTATTTATGCTAGTCATCCTGTCCTTCAGTCTGAGGTCAGTAAATCTGTTCTTTTTTTATGAGCCCTTTTCCCTGTGTCTTTTCAAATGCACTCTTTGCCCAGTCTGCCCTCTTCTGTACTGAGATAAGTCTTTATATTTTTTTTTCCCGTTGCAGTATTGATAGCTTTGCAGTTACCATTACTTAAATGGGAGAATTGCATGACGGTCTCTTGTAGGAAACATCACTTAATACCTTTTTCCCATCCTGTATTTATTGTGTTGAGTATTTTATGTGTTTAACTGTTCATCCGCTTACCTTTCTGAGCCCATGCTGACTAGATACTACATAGAATGGTTCCAGATGAAGTCGGTGCCTTTTTATTTTTTTCTCCCCTAACCGACTCTTATAAAACTAAGAACAATTATCTTTTAGAGAAGATGCCTGAAGCACGTAGCCTATGAAAACACAGTGAATTTCCTTTTGCTATTTCTTTGCAAACCCTGTGTTTCCTTGGCGTGCACTTTGCCACGTGCCTATGATCCTGTGGCTTGTGTCTCTGTGGAGCACCGTCCCTCCCAGAGAAGGGGAGGTGTTGGAGACCTGATCCTCTTACCTGATCTGTGTGCACTTCTGTAAACCTCCTGACTAGCTTCAGGCCTTGATGCTAATCTGCTTCGGCAGTTCAGAGGGTGGCAGGTCCAACTTCGGTTGAGCAACACAGGATAAAGCAGCAGACTTGAAAGACGTTTTCTGAGGCAACAAATGCATGAATTACACATTGACACACCGGCTGTCTCTGCCAAGGCAGCAGGCTTGTCACGTTCATTGTCTGCGCTTGTTCCCACAATTAACAGGCAGCTTTGTCCCAAGAAAGGCCTAACAGTGTGAAACTTCATCACCAACATGAAAGCCTCGTAGCGGCCGCGGGTGCTCGGTGCATTGGCTTTGGCGATGCTGGTGCGCCTTGTCTCGCAGCTGGAGTTGCTGGAGTGTGACGTGGGCGACTTACCGGGCAGCGCCGCGTCCCGCCAAAACCTGCCAGGGCCCAGCCGGGCCTTCGCATGCCGCCGGGCCTGCAGGTTTCCCTTGGCCCTGGAGGTTTGCCTTTGTCCCGCGTCAAGACCATCATCCCACCCTCACCCCAGGCCAAACCGTTCCATCTGCGCCCCCCGAAGTCAGGAGAGCATCCTAACCCAACGGCGTCTCGGTGGGAGTTGTGGGTTCCCCTGTGCGGACAGCGTCGTAGCTGCGGTTCCAAATGTGTCTGTATTTTTGGAGGTAATACTGGTTGTTTTTTTTTCTCTCTTCCCTTCCTCTTGCCTGTCGTTTGCAGATGTTAATGCGGGAGAACGAGTTCAGACCAATAGTGTAGCTACAGCATCAGCCTCCAACTCCACCTGAACCGGTACCAAGCAGCCAGCTGCACAGGAAAAATCACCAGTAATTTGAGTCTTGCTCAGCAACACTGGTCACATTTGGAAAGAAAATTAAAAAGAGGAAAAAAAAAAACAAAACAAAACAAAAAAAAACAAACAAAACAAAAAAAAAAAAAAAAAACAACCAACAAACCAACCAACCTGTTCATTTTAGTGTTCAATTTTTTATTATTATTATTGTTGTTCTTATTTAACCTTGTAAAATATCTATAAATACAAACCAGTTTCATTGTATTCTCACTCTGCAGGGTGTCCGGGGCAGGGGACTAGGTGGGGGGAGGAGGGAAAGCGGAGCAATACAACACACCAATGTCTCTCCCCTCGACAATCTCTTCATGTTGGAAGTTTGCTGTTGTGTACTTCAGAACCAGGACTCTTGCCTCATGCCCTCTCCCACAAGAGAAAGAAGGAAAAAAACAAACAAAACAAAACAAAACCAAACCCCAAACCTCATTCTCTGCTGAAGTTCGTGTTTTTTTGTTTTTTTTTTTTTTTTTTGTTTTTTTTTTTTTAACCTCTTTTTTTTATTTTCTTTTTAAGTGAAGTTTCGGACTTTGATGTAGTGCACAGCTTGAATTTGGTTGGGAGCTTAGCAGGGGTCATTCAACAGAGCTCAGCGTTCCTCGTCAGCGACTCCCTTTCCTAGGTTGTCTGAAGCACTGCCCCGGCTCGGTGCGGGCGCTGTGGTAGGAGAACGGGTTGCCGTGGGGTGGGAGGGGAGGGTTTGCCGTGTGTCCAAGGCTCAAACCGCTGGTGGAAAGCCTTTTATTTTTTCCCAACCCATTGCTAGCAGTGCAGAAACCTGCAGCTTCCTTACGGGGAAAAGTCCTTGCCCGAGTGGGTGATATATAATACAACACACACACACACACACGCACGAGCAGGGGGGTTGGCTCTGCTGGCGCAGCCCCTCGGCCCCGGCTTCACCAGAGAAGAGCGGGCGAACAAAATCCTCGGCCGGGGGCCGGGGCCAGCTGGGGATGCGGAGGGACTTTCTGGAAAGTGGCCACTGTGAAAGCTCGGGGGGGTTTTTTTTTGGGTGGTTGGGTTGGTTTGGTTTTTTTTTTTTTCCCCCACGCCCCCCTCCCCACCCCAGCTCTCGATTTGAACAGGCTTCCCTTTCCCAAGGCGCGTACAGGAAAAGGACACCAGGGTTTATAATGTGAACTGTAACAGTCTACTGGTTTATTTTGTAATTTTTTTTTCTTTTTTTTTTTTTTTTTCTCCTAACTGCAGTTTTAACTTGCAGGATGCCACATCCTCCGATAGTTCTGATTTTAAATCCACAGCCAGAATTTGTATTTAATTTCATCTTTTTTAACCTCTTGCTTTTTTTTTTCTTTTTTTGATCTCTATTTATTGATGAGTGTTGCCACGTTGCCATTATGTTTTTACATTGGTAGAATATTAATAAAATACACATCCGAGTGCTCTCCACAGTACTTTGTACCTGCTGACTTGTAGGAAAGCTGGCTATATATGAGTGTGTGTGTGTATATATATTATATAAATATATACATGTATACATAGATACAACACTGCTTTTTTTTTTTTTATTTTGTCTACGATCCTGAAGCAGTCTGACTGACGCGTGAGGTGAATGCTTGTTCTAGCCCGCCTGTTCAGGGTCCGGGTTTCCTCCCTGCACCCGCGCCTTTCTCCCTGAACTCAAAGCAATATTCCTGGGGAACGGGCGTGCTGGGCGGCCCCTGACCTGGTCCGGCAGGCTCGGGGTCGGCACCCGCCCCGGCCTCGCCCTCCTCCAGCCCAGCCCGAGTCGCCTTCGGTGCCGAGCGAGCCCTTGCTGGACCTGCGGATCTCGCTGGCTCTCCCTGTCTCTCTCCAGGCAAGCGGTTGCTTTTCGGGAGCGCGCGGCCCCGGGGGTGCTCGGCAGTGGCTCGGCCGCCGCGGGGGCAGCGGGCCTTCTGCTCACGGCGAGCTCGGTGCGTTTCTTCTTGTACCTTTTATCCTGTTGACGTGGGATGTTTTGGTTTGGTTGGGTTTTTTTTTTGGGGGGGGGGGTGTTGTTTTTTTTTTTTTTCCTTTTTTTTTTTTTTTTTCCTTTTTTTTTTTTTCCTTTTTTTTTTTTCCTTTTTTTTTTTTTTTTCCTTTTTTTTTTGTGTTTTGGAAACTGTCTCTTAGCAGCCCTGGAGCTGGTTCAAAGCCCTGCCCTCTCCCCCCTGCCTGACACGCAGCGGGTTTTGGGGAGGCAGGAGCTGTTTCCAGAGGTGAGTGACCACCTACCGTGAAACCCGTAAACCTTCACCTTATACCCCTCGGCGGTTTGCTGTCGGGCACACACACAAAAAAAAAAAAAAAAAAAAAAAAAAAGAAAAAAAAAAAAGGCGTTTTAAAGCTTTTAGCCGTCTTAAAGTCTGGCTGGCTGCAGAAGGGAAGCACACCCGTGTTTTGAAACGGAAGGCTTTCCAAATCCTTACGTGCGACTTAATAGAAAGGGCTGAAGAGCATCTTAATGCGAGAGCTCAGCCAGTCAGTGTCCCGAAAGGTAAGTGAAGGGGCTTGGTTGGCCCGGTGATGCAAAGGAAAACAGGCAACTCAAAAAGCAGGGCAGTGGCGGGGCATGGACCCGCTGTGTAGGCGAGACTGCTGAAGCATTGGCCACAGACGCTGCTGTTTGGAGGCAGTGAATTACGGAGTCTTTAAAAGAAAAAAATAATAAAAAATAATGATGAAAAATTGCTGCTTGTGCCAGGAAATGGGGCTTTTCGTTTTCGGTTCATCTTTCAGTTTTAAGACTGGCGGAGGGGAGTTAAGAGCTTTTCTCTCTGGTTTTGTGACTGTGCCGGCGTCTGTGTGCGTCTTGTGTGTGTGTTAGACTGGGGGGAGGGTCGGGGGCACCCCTCTGGTTTGATTTCTTTTTTCAAGGATCATGGCAGGATCACACACTCTTTTATACAAGTTAGATCCAGGTCTTTGAATAACCTTTTTTGTAAATAAGAAAAAGAAAAAAAAAAAAAAAAAAACAACAAAAAACACACAAAAAAAATAACAACAAAAAACATAAAGCTCCTCACCAAATTCAAGCTTGTACATTATTATTTTGGGTTGTTTTTGAATTTTGAGTTTTATTGTTTTGTATGTAAATATGTGGACCCAGGAACTGTTATTAATGAGCAAAAAGTTACCGTTCAGGGCAGTGATTCTGTTTAATAATCAGACAAAATGTAGACGAGCTTTTTAAAGCCATATAGTTTTAACTCTGTACAGTAGGTACCGGCCTGTATTATTGTAACAATAACTTTAGCGATGTATAGTGTATCTATATAGTTTGGAGTGCCTTCGCTTCCATGATTTTTTGAATTTTATTTCCCCCTTTTTTTTTCTTCCCCCCCCCCCCCCCCCCCCTTCTTTATTAATGATGTCTCCCCTCCACCCCCCAAACCTGCATCTTTGCTCCCCCCCCCCCGCCCCCCACCCCCGTGCTTTCTAACTCTTTGAGTGCTGTAAGGTTTTGGCGATACCCTGATCAGTAGCGGAACAAAAGGAAACCGTCTCCACCATGGTTGGTTTCATTGGGGCCCTGGCTTTGCTCTGGACGTCTCCCAGTTGCCGCCCCTGCCCTCTCCTCCTCCCGCTGGCAGCGACCGGTTTCCGTGGGACACTTGCCCTCGCAGCTCCCTTTGCCCTTCGCCCCGTCTCTTCCCCCCCCCCCCTCGATCCGGCGCCGATCCAGAAGCTTCCAGGAGGCTCGGCCTCTCCTCCCGGCGGGCGGGGAGGGCCCCGGGGAGGGACACCCCCGCGGCGACGCTGCTCTCGGGGGGCCGGAGACCGCGGTGGGGTTTTGCTGCTGGGGGGACTCCCCGTTTCCCTTTCTTCTCCCTGGTTTCCCCCCACCCCAAAGTCCCTTTCGTTTTCTTGAGATAAGTTTAACATGACTCTTGATTTCTTGTGCCCAGCACGAAGGCCTTGTTTCTAAAACTAGTTTGCTTGTGTTCTACTACCTTGTTAGTACTCCACATAAGATTGTCTTGAATGGGAAAACACTTAACTCTTTACCAAACCAAAGGTTGCTGTTTTATTTCGAAGCATCTCGTGTTCATTCCAGTGAAGCAGAGGCTGCACTTTCTGGTGACACGAAGGTCAGTGATGCCAAGCTGTTGGCAACAGTCTGCTCAGAGCTGTCCCTCTCTTCTTTGACTCTTTCGGGCTTGTTCGTTACCCCAGTCTGGTCTCGACCTGTCCTTTACGTCCGCCCTGCCTTGGCGCGGGTCTCTGAGCCGGACTCCATCGCAGTCCGCCTCCCCCGACGGACACCCGGGTGTTCTTCAATGTGGAACTGACCGACCTTGCTAGGGAAAAAAAAAAAAAAAACCAAACAAACAACTTACCTGCAAAGAGAAAATTGGCTGGGAGAAGATCCCCGAACGCTTTGTCCCCTTGTTTCGAAGCCAAGCTTTACCTAAAATAACGGCAGGCGCCCGCAACTTGCCGCTTACAATTTCCCCCCTGGGTTTTCAGTACTTGGGAAAGTAGAAGTCACGCAGCCTGTCAGACTCCGGTACTAGGAACCTCAGCCGCCGCGGAGAAAGAAAGAAAAAAAAAAGAAAAAAAAAAAAAAAAAAAAAAGAATAGCCGAGGAGGAAAAGCACAGTAGGGTATTGGGTCCAGGCTCTGCCTTTCGGAGACTGCCAGCGGGTACCCCTGGGGTGGCAGCTGATTCCCACGGGGCTCTCAGCCGGTTCTGGCCGTAGTTGGCTTCGTTTTGCAACACCGCAATAACGGCAAAACGACAGGAAAGGAAAACAGTACCGAAGGGGTTAGCTCGAGAAAAGTAGCTTCCTTGTGTTGGTCTTTCTCAATTTATTTTTAATATATATATATATAAAATATATTTATATATATATAATTCGCTTGCCTGTAAAATTTGCGTTCATTAATGTGTTGCTGATGGATCACTTGGGCCTGTACACACCAATTAGCGTGACCACTTCCATCTTAAAAACAGAAATCTAAAAATATATATATATATTAAGGACTGTGGGTTGTATACAAACTATTGCATACATTTGTGCAAATCTGTCTTGATTTAAAGGAAAAGCAAAACCTGTATAACATTATTACTACTTGAATGCCTCTGTGACTGATTTTTTTTTTTTTTTCATTTTGAATATAAACTTTTTTTGTGGAAAGTATGCTTAATGTTTTATTATTTCCCCCGCCCCATTCCCCTTGTAAATACGTTTTGTTCTGTGTGACTCGGTTCGGAAATAGTTAACTGGTACTGTAATTTGCATTAAATAAAAAGTAGGTTAGCCTGGAAATGAAATTTAAAAAATACCAAGTGTGTGGTCTTTATTTCAAAAAACTTGCCCTTTTCTTTCCTCCTCTCCCTTCTCTACCCCTTGTTCCTCGCCCTCTCGCCTCTTTCCACTCCGCAAGAATAGGTGGACGTGAATCTTTGTAATAATAATTAAAAGGAAAAAGAAAAAAAAAAAAAACACACAAGAAATAAGCATGTTTTCTTAAATGAGCTGTGTTATTCCATGCTATTTTTCAAGAGATGCCAGCTTGTCTATGATACCGTTTGATTTGATGGAGAGAGGAACCCTGGGACTTAAATATTTCAAATTATAAACCAACCAATCTTCGTTAACCGTCCACCTCTAGATACGAACTTAAGGACCTGTGTAAACTGCTGGCTTTGAATCCTGCACTCATGGTTGTTTGGGTTTTGGTTTCTTTTATCATTTGATCCCATTAGTAATGTTATTTGGTGGTGATCTGTAAAGTTTGTCGAGACCGCGTCCAGTGGACCGTTCCTCCAGCAAATCAGCACGTAGCTATCTCTGAGTTGGGTTTCCGGTACTGGATAATGTATGTATTAAACATGACATGTCTATTAGCGCAAAAGAAAAATGAAAAAAAAAAAAAAAAAAAAAAAAAAAATCCTTTTTTGGACTGGCTGACCTGGCCGAATCCATTCTGTCGCTATCCTAAAGGCTAGATGCGAGGTCGTGTGACTGCTGCTTCAATAAAAACAAATTTATATTGCAAAGAGGCTGCTCTCGCTTTGTTGGCGTGTCGCAAGCCGCGGTCATCCCCGTCCCCATCCTTCTCTGCTGGGCTCCGGGCTGGAGCCGCCGCTCCGGGAGAGGGGGGAGCCGGGTGGGACGGGGTGTCCTGGCCGTGGCCGTGGCCGTGGCCGGGCGCGGGGACGGCCGCCTGCGCACAGCTCCTCGGGGAGAGGCCTGGGCTTGGCAGAAAGGCCGCCCGGGCCCAAATTCAGCCGGTACCAAAGCGAGTGGATGAGCCTGGTGCTCCCTCCACGCCCCGGCTCTGCTCGCTGCTCCGGGCTGCCCCCCCCCCCCCGCCCTGGACTAAGCTGCCACAGCAGATGCCAGCCGGCCCTGGGTCGCCGAGGGGGCCACGGGGCTCGTTCTGTTCGGCTTCTGCTGTCCCTTCGCTTAGGTCGGTCCCGCAACGCCGCCGAGGTTTCGGGCTGCGTCTGCCTGGGGTGCCCAGGCTGGGGCTGCTCTGCTCGACCCCGCCGGCCCCCGGGGCTAAGGGCAGCCGGT